ATTTTCCAAACGTTTAGTCAAATTAGGAGTGAATGTCACATTTTCCACAAGTCTAACAGCTTTCAATCGCATCACAAATCTTCCAACTATAGAAGGATTAACATTTTCTCCTTTCTCTGATGGTTTTGATGGCAACTTCAAAGGGTCTACGAATAACTTCCACGAGTTCAATAAATCGTTCAGGACTAATGGTTCTGAATTTGTGACCGATTTGGTCAAAACCAGGAAAAATCAGGGGAACCCCTTTAAACGTATTATTTACACGACCTTGACTGGTTGGGTTGGTTTACTAGCCAAGAGCATAAACGTTCCATCGACGTTTCTTTGGATTCAACCAGCCACAGTTTTGGATATTTACTACTATTTTTTCAACGGTTATGAGGATACTATCAAGAATTGTCCAAAGGATAAATTTTTAGAGCTTCATGGGCTGCCTTTGTTATCCCCTCGCGATTTGCCTTCATTTGTGTTTGCTGATTCAAATGATTGGACATTATTGTCAATGAAAGATCATGTCGAGTTGATTAATAGCGAGATAAACCAAAGGGTGCTTGTGAATACTTTTGATGCTTTAGAATCTGATGCTTTGAGTGTTTTAAAGAATGTGAATATGGTTGGAATTGGCCCTTTAATTCCTTCAGCTTTTCTTGATGGAAATGATAGTTCTGATACTTCATTTGGAGCTGATATGAGACAGGATTCAAGGGATTATATTGAGTGGTTGGATTCTAAGGCTAAAGAATCTGTAGTATATGTAGCATTTGGTAGCTATTCTATGATACCAAATCAACTTATGGAAGAGATTGCTCAAGGATTAGTATTGTGTAAAAGGCCTTTTTTGTGGGTAATTAGAGAGGGACTAAATGGTGAAAAACCATTTGAAAATTTGAGTTGCAAAGAGGAATTGGAAGAGTTAGGGAAAACTGTTCCTTGGTGTTCACAAGTGGAGGTTTTACAACATCCTTCTTTGGCTTGTTTCTTGACTCATTGTGGATGGAATTCGACTATTGAGAGCTTGACTTCGGGGGTGCCAGTTGTGGCATGTCCACTCTGGACCGATCAATTATGCAATGCGAAGCTTATTCAAGATGTTTGGAAGACGGGAGTCAGGGTAAACGCCAATAATGAAGGCGTTATTGAGAGGAATGAGTTCGAGAGGTGTATAGAGATTGTGGTAGGAGATGGGGAAAAAAGGGAAGAATTGACAAACAATGCTAAGAAGTGGAAGGAATTGGCTAAGGATGCTATGAAAGAAGATGGTTCTTCTAATGTCAATCTCAAGGCTTATGTTCATGAGGTTTTGCTTGGTGAATAAATCATTTGTAAGCTGAAAGAAAAAGGTAAGGCCAATGGATGCAGTTCGGTAATCTTTTTCGTTCGAATTTAACTTATATACAGTGACAATGTAATTTTTTTTTTAGTATTATTAGTGCATTTAATATGTTGCAGCCGAAACCTGCTTTAGTAACTAAAATCACATTATAATATAGCCTTAATACTCTCTATATGTAGTGAAACCAATTTTTTGGGAATAGGGTAAATAATATGTCATCTAACATGAATTTATTTTCTATTAGCGGCTTTAACTATAATCCTAGCTACCTCTAGATCTAAGAGTCATGGAAGGCGTAATTGAAATATGTAACTGGAATTAAATCGCATTGGTATAAAGAGCCGGAAAAGAAAAAGAAGAGAAAAAGTACCGGCGGTAGCATATCGACAAATATCATTATTGTTACGCCGACCACCAGGTCGTAAAAGTTCATTTATGAGATTGGATGTGCATGTATCTCAAACATTTAGTTCATGATACATGTTTGTAGCCAAACAAGTGAGAAACTCTCATCTGCCATACCTCAACTATCAAGTATTGAACTGATTTTTATAAATAAGTAATAGCGCAAGACATAGTAATAAGTTATAGTTCCTTAGTTGTAAGTCTAGCTTAATTTGATACTTGTGCAGATACGATATACCCTTCGAGCACAAAAAAGTACATCTCATTCAGTAATTTGCAATCCAAATTGATCTGTAGTCTGCTTTCTTTCTGTTCTATTACTGGTGTGCTTCTTTTTTTGATTTGGTGGTTTGGGGGGGAGGATTTCTGGTATGAAAAATTCCTGTATAAGATACTGAGTAACAATTATCAGATACAAAAATACACCACCAGAGTCAAAAGATACAGCAAGAGACCGACGAAATATTTATTTTATAAGCACTATGTATCAACACGAAGAAGGGAGTCTTGGGTAACTAGTAAAGTTGTTGTCATGTGACCAGCAGGTAACGGGTTCGACCGTGGAAATAATGCAGGGTAAGGTTGCGTACAATAAACGCTTGTGGTCCGACCCTTCCCCGAACTCCGCGCGAGAGCTTAAAGCACAAGGCTGCCCTTGATGTATGATGTATCAACATGATACCAGCAACATAAGACAAAATTTCCCATACTACAACACAAGTCCCTACTGAAATCATATCACATTCAAAATCTCTCTTTAGTCGAGTAGAAGTTAAAGAAAAGACACTACAATCTCTACAAGTCAATTTTCATCATGCAGAAATGTGAATAACAGAAAATGCTCTTTTCTTTTTCTTAAATTGGGCTACCACCGCCAAACATGGGCCAAGCCCAAACGACTAGGACCAATTGGGTTGTGTAGCCTTATGGGAGAATAAGGAAAATGACATTGTATAGCCGTTGTAAAAATAATAATCGAAAAAATATATTAAATTTGTATATTTTTTGTATATATATACATTATGTATGTTATATACAAAATATATATAAATTTTATATATTTTTTCGACCATCAAATATAAATAGTTTTTAACGCGGACTAAAGCGATAATACCCCATGGAATAATTCAAAGGAAGGCACATAAGTTCTGCAAACTTTCCAAACTTCACTTTTTGGATCAAAGTCAATATAAGATGTAAATATATATGGGCCGGTCTGTGACCCACGTAAGGCTGCCTAACTATTTTAAGGCCCATTAATAATGGGTTGCCAACCTAGCCGATCAAACGCCAAGGCCCGCGTGGGCTAGGCTAGGGGGGTTTGGCGGCCCATATTGACAGCTCTAGTTATAGAGTAGTTACATTCTTGGTTAATTCTCCATTCCTTTTAGTTATTTTATATAAGAGAAATTTTCAGAAACCACTATTGTTTAATGGCTATTAACTTTCTATAGCTAACATATACATAATTACTTCCTATAGCTATTATTCAGTTGTTACGGTAGTTTATTCGATATATTCGCGCTACTGTAATCATGAATACAGTAGCAAAAATTACCTAAAAACATAGGAGTCCAGTTGTAAGCGGATATATTTAGATATATTCGCGCCATGTATTCATGAATACAGTAACGACAATCACCTTAAAAATAGGTTTGTCCAACTGTCTAATAACGGAAAGATGATCAATTAATATGATACACTCCTAAAATAACTCAACACAATCAATTCTACATAAATTTCGATGATATTGTTCTGTATTCTGTGTATTCACGCGACTATATTTATAAATACAATAAGGTAAAAATACAGGAATTATAGATGTTTAATTATGTATTTTATGTATTCGCGCGAATGCATTTATAAATACAGTGAGGTAATCTACCTAAAAAACAGTGATTGCGGGTGTTTAATAACGGAAAGCGCAATATTGAATTGTATTCGGTTTTATTATATTAAATTAAGTTGTATTCAAACAACAAAAAAATCAAGAAAATAGGGTGTATACCGTTCTATTCAATTTGATTGTATACATTATATTTAATTCACATATATTCACTATTATACATTGTATTCAATTTACCGTATTCAATTGGATTATATTCAAACAAACAAAAAAACACAAAACACAATGATATTCAGCTGTATTTAAAAAATACAGATCTTGGGAATACCTAAATACAATCAAAAAATAATATATTTATACAAAATATATTTGAGTGTATTTGTACAGAATACAATATATTTGTATCATTGAATGTGACTAAAAAGCAAAGAAGAGAAGAAAGTTTCATGATTCTAGATGAGAAGGTTGTATTCCATGCTTCTCTTGTGCCAAAGCATGGCCTTCCTGTTCACCTTCTACCTCATGGAAATTAGCAATCATGTTCAGTGATTCTAGTATTCGGCCAGATTAGAAGGAGGTATTTGCTCGAAGAGAGAGAAGGAAGAGAGAGAGAGAGAGAGAGAGAGAGAGAGAGAGAGAGAGAGAGAGAGAGATTGAAAAAAAATTTGCTGAGATTTTGAGAGAGAATCGTATGTTAACCGAAAGAAAGAGAGAGAAAACATAAATAGCGTATTTCACACCTTAACGGTCAAGTATACCACAAATACCTATTTTGCTACAAAATATAAAAGGTAGCTATATAAAATAATATTTTAAAATAATTTTGATTTATAATAAATATGATGTATACCTTTGCTATAGGAGGTAAAATTTCCTTTATATAATTATGTTTGTACTGATGTGCAAAAACAATTACTCCATAGGTCCCAACGTACTTGGTACCATTCAAATTTCGAGAGTTGAATTTTTTAATTTTGACTATGCTTTCGAACATGAAATCTTTTAGTTTTTTTTTGAAATAAAATTTATACATTTAAAAATTACACATAAAGTATTATATATCATAACTGAGAATTTAATATATTAAAAAGACATAAACAATCAAAGAAAAACTCGTTCAAATTTCAAAATTCAAATAAATTGAGATAGAGAGAATAAAAATAGCCTGATACACAAATCATTCCAAGTTCAAAGAGTCAATCTGCTTAGGTGTCTCCATTAAAGCCGCCAATAAGATAACACTTATTGATCAAAGAATTAAAAGCCGCCGTTTTATAATAATATATCTATTATCTCATGACATGTCAGTATGTCACTACTTAAAATGGCAAGTGGAACACTACCAGTGAATACAAATATAGGGATATTTTTATATTTAAAAAATTTTAAAAGCCTATATATAGGGTCTTTCATCAAGCAAGAAAATGCACTCACACAATTAGCTCCTCCTCCTCTTATTCTTCTTACCATAATCATAAGATAGTTGAAAGTGTGTTAACATGGCTAAGATGTGCCTATCTCACAAGCTTGCTTTCTCTTTTGGCCTTCTCCTTGTAGTATTGGCTGGTAGGTTACTTGATCATCCATTAGTTTCTTTGTTAAAAAATATATAATCTTTACAAAAATAGTCAGTCGAATTCATTATTTACTTTTCGTTAGCCGATATACATAAATTATACACTGATTATACATGGATGCATGGGTGGATGCACGTTTAATGAAGTGGTGGCACGCGACACTGCTTCATCGATTTTTTTTTTTTACTATATATATTAATATCGTAAGGACACAGATAAAGAAGGAAAAAATGACACCACTTGACATAAATTATTTCTTGGTACGTCAGTTATGTGCTTGATTTTGCTTTTAGATGTCAAAGGTTCGAACCTCAACTAACACATTTTTTTTTTTTGCAAATATTTAAGAGAGCCCTTATGGTTAAAAATTGTGATTGAATTAGAATTGAACTCAGGACCTTTTCTAACTAAAGACTCAACAAAATCAATAGAATAAGGCTATTTCTTGTGCAATAATTAAAGTTATTATTCTCGTTCTTATATAAATTTCGATACCGCTTATAAAAATTCCTGCGTACGCCCCTGTACAGATGTATACATATGGATTATATATATACATTTCGTCGACTATTTTTAGTTTAAGCAGTTGGATGGACAATTAACAATTTGATTTTTACATGTTATGCAGTTCATTCAAACATTCAAGTGATGGCTATGCGAGTCCTACCTTTAGAGATACAGATGATTGAGCAGTTTCTAATCCCAGATCTTACCTCATTAAAAGGCAGATGTTTCTCCCCTTGCAAATCTAGTGCAGAATGCAATGTACAGAAAATGTGTTCACAATGTCGAAAGAGTATGCGTTGGAGGTCGTCTAAGAGTTGCATGGCTCCAAATTAACCCAATTTGAATCAATCTCATATGATATTTTCTATGTTCCTTTTTTGCCTACTTGATCCTTCTGAGAGCTGAGTTTCTATCGGAAATAATCTTTCTATCGATACAAGGCAGGATTAAGGTCTGCGTACACACTACCCTTCTCAGACCCCATTTGTAGAAAAACACTGGGTATGTTTTTCTTGTTATTGTTGTTGTTACTTGCACCTTCTAAGAGCCGATGGTCTATCGAAAATAGTCTTTCTATCTGCACAAGATAGGAATAAAGTCTGTGTATACACTACCCTCCCCAGGCTTCACTTGTAAAAATAAATTGTGTATGTTGTTGTTGTTACTTGCTCCTTCTAAGCTTTGTGTCACTTGTAAAATTAAAGTTACTATCTTTATTCTGAATAAATAAATGTGTGTTAAGGTGTTACCATATTAATATTTTGTGATGATCTTATCATATGTATGACTATGTATGTTATTTGTATTTCCTTTCCTTTATTTTTCCTTTATTTCTTATTGAATTCTGTTTCATTAATTATTTCTTGCTGGATTCTATTCTTTCATTCATTTTAAATAGAACAAACTTATTTTTATTTCTCACTCGGTATCTAATACTCACGTTAAAAATGTACAGGGTAAAGTATGTCCATATTAAATGATCGCATGAGAAAGTGATATGTGGAGCTGAAGACAGAAGACAGTCGGGTCCGAATGCAACGATCTCGTTTGTTATCGGAGAGAATGACATTCATAAAGGAGAAATAAATGCATGCCACCCCAGTTACATTTAGTGGAGAATATTTTAAAGCATTAAGTATATGATCCGTTACAGAGAATATGACATTCACTGCCTACCGTTACACATTCTTCAATGGCCTTCATAATTGTCATTAAAGTAGGGCTTGATCCTAGTACCTTGTTCCCTAGGTGCAACTATAAATAGTGAGTTCTACAATCATTGTAAGGGACACGAATTTTCTGACAAACATATACTATACTATGTTCAAAGCTCAATATAATTTTACCTTCTTGCTTATTTATATTGTTATTACTGCCTCCGGAAGCTCTGCTCCTGGAACTACGATTTCTGTCATTTTATCTCAACTTTAAGGCTAAATCTTATATTTTTGTCTAATTTATTTATCATTAGGATCAAATCGATTCACTTGTCTATAAACCATATATAAATTCAATTGTATTATTTTACGGGTAAACAGTTTGGCGCCCACCGTGGAACTTAGACAGTTGTGTAATTGAGTTGATCCTTACATCTATTACTAACTCATTTGATTATTTCTTCTTAGCAAAAATCATAGAAAATGGCAGATAACAGTGTCTACATCGTGCATAACATTAAGGCCCAAGGAAATTAGACCCAGCACGAAGATTCAATCTATGATACCTGCAACGAGGGGGACGAGGCCACGTCGGTCCATGGCGGACAATATCCGCGACATGTTTGAGAGGCGACTCCTAATGATGCTGAAGACGAGCACGTCGTTGAAACAGTAAGGATCTTGAGAGAGCAACAAAAGGCCATTATAGGCCATCTCACACAACAGAATTAGGTCATGACGGAGTTGAATCATGCGTTGTCAGGTGCTTCCAACAACGCAAGTGGACGAGGTCCAGTTCCTCCCGGTGCTCCCGCAAATCAAACAACGTAGAGGGTCGACAACAATACCCCGAGGAGCGAGGTCGGTTTCGATGGGGCCAGGGGGAACGGTAGCGATTCTGGTAACAACAACGAGAGTAATCCCTTTAAAATCGAACTCATGCGGTTTATGAGAAAAATAAATGCTCGAATGGATCAAAATCCGAACACACCACCAGTGTTGAAAGGACCAGACTCAAAGAAGTATACCCAGTTGCCGTTCAAACCAAGAACGACACTAGAGTTGATCCCGAAGTGGGTCAAAATGCCAGACGTGCCGAAGTATGATGGATCCTCAGGAGCACATCACCAAATATACAATGGCGGTGAAGGGGAACGATTTAGCTCCCCAAGAGATTGAGTCAGTCTTACTGAAGAAATTCAGGGAGACCCTTACAAAGGGAGACCTGCCATGGTATTCACTTTTGCCTGAGAACTCCATAGACTCCTTTGAGATGCTCGCGGACTCTTTCATCAAGGCCCATGCCGGGGCTAGGAAGATACAGGCCCGAAAGGCAGACATATTCAGGATTACACAAGGAGAGTCTGAATTGCGGCTTGAGTTTGTGACCAGATTCCAAAAGGAAAGGATGTTGCTACCGGTCGTACCAGACGAATGGGCAGCTGAAGCATTCACTAAAGGTCTGAATCCAATAAGTTCATACGCTTCTCGGAAATTGAAAAAAGTTTGCTCGAGTTCCAGGCAACAACATGGGGGGATGTTCACAACCGGTACGAATCAAAGATAAGAATTGAGGATGATCAGCTCGGTTTCCCGACATCAACCAAGTGTCGGGACCGGGAAAAGAATAAAGAAAAGTCAAAAGGTGATTTCGACGCAGATCGACAGTCTTCAAGAGGTCGGTTTTTGCCCTATGAAAGGGCCGAAGGATGCGGTAAAGGTTTTCGGTCAGCGGATAGATTCGAAATCGAAAGAAGAGCTGATCGCGGACGGAATAACAGGTCATTGCAGGATAAGGAGATATCAGGTTCATCCTACCCCAGGCTTTCCGAATACAACTTCAACGTCAGTGTAGTGGAGCTGGTATTGGCTATGAGGAATATTAAGGAAGCACGATTCCCAAAGTTGATAAGATCTGATCGCAGTTTGAGGGATCCTAACTTGTGGTGCTATTATCAAGGGACCAACGGCCACCGGACAGGGGACTGCCGATATCTACGCGAGAAAGTGGCGACATTACTAAAAAAATAACTATCTTACAGAATTCTTGATCGATCAGGCCAAAGATAATTATGGCCGCAATAGGGATAAAGCGGAGCCTTCGAAAGCAGGAGAAGATCCCCCACACTTGATGATCAACTAATTTTCAGGGAGAGGGGCGAGAGTGATATTTTCGGCGGCAAAAAAAAGAAGTTGTCACTAACCCACAGTAAGAGACTCCAGGAAATCGCTGAGGATGACACTACTTTCACAGTGGAAGACGCAGATGGGATACTGCTGCCGTACAATGATGCATTGGTAATCTCTTTAAATGTCTTAGATTTTAAAATTAAACGTATTTTGGTGGACCCCGGAAGTTCAGCCAATATTATCCAGTGGAGAGTGTTGGAGCAAGCCAAGCTCACCGGAAGTATCATTCCGGCCACAAAACTCCTTGTCGGGTTCAACCTAGCGAGCGTGAAAATTCGAGGAGAGATCCTGCTACTAACAAATGTCGAGGGGGTGATGAAGACGACCTTTTTTGAGGTAGTGGACGGCGATATGGGTTATAACATTATCCTAGCGAGACCATGGTTGCATGAAATAAAGGTTGAGCTGTCAACAAATCATCAATTGCTGAAATTACCAACTCCTAAGGGAATTAAATAAATAAGAGGTGACCAACCGGCAGCAAGGGGGATGAATGTAATCTCAGTTTCCAGTAGCAAAAGAAAGGAGCATGCAGCATAGTAATTACAGGAACTGACGCATGCTTCCGAGCAGAGCGAAGTCAACTAGGGGGAGCAGTCGTCGGAATCCTATCAGTTACCAAGATACTTCCAGGTACCAGAAGAAACGGAACAACAAAATCCACAGTGGAAGAATTTGAACAAGTCGCATTGTTCAAAAAGTTCTTGGAGAGTAAGTTCCACTTGGGGACAAGACTAAAACCCGAGCTCAGGTCTGGATTTATTGAATTTCTTAAATTTAATGATGACTGTTTTGCATGGCCATATGCGGATATGACAGGTATCCCACCAGAAGTGGTCGTTCACAAACTAAGCCTCGATCCCAACATCCATCCGGTAAGACAGAAAAAATATCCTATTGTCGAGGTTAGAAACAAACTCGTCAAAGAAAAGGTAACTTGTTTGATTGATATCGGTTCAATTCGAGAGTTAAAGTATCTAGACCGGTTAGCTAACATAGTAGTAGTTCCAAAGAAGAATAATAAATTTTGCATGTGGGTAGACTATAAGGATTTAAATAAGACATGTCCAAAGGACTCATTCCCATTGCTAAACATTGATCAAATAATTGATGCGATGGCCGGGCATGAGTTAATGAGTTTTCTCGATGCTTACTCCAGGTATAACCAAATCAAGATGAACCCGGAGGATTAGGAAAAAACTTCGTTCGTAAAGAATTTTGGCATATATTGTTATAATGTGATGCCTTTCGGGCTAAAGAACGCCAGAGCCACTTATCAACAGCTCGTAAACAAAATGTTTGAGAAATAAATAGGGAAAACTATGGAGGTTTACATAGATGATATGTTGGTTAAGTCCTTGAACGCATGTGATCATCTTAAAAACTTGCAAGAAAACTTTGACATCTTAATGAAGCATAACATGAAGCTTAATCCCGAGAAGTGTGCAGTCGGGGCCAACTCCGGTAAGTTACTGGGATTCCTGGTGTCGCAAAAAGGGATCAAGGTTAACCCCGATAAAATTAAAGCTATCGAATACATCTTGGACCAGCTATCAAGCGTGAAAGAGGTTCAAAGATTAACAGAGAGACTGGCCGCTTTGAGCAGGTTTATTTCCCGGTCTTCGGAGAAATGCCATCATTTCTTTTCACTACTCAAAAAGAAGAAGAACTTCGAATGGACTCCGGAATGTCAGCAAGCTTTGAAGGATTTGAAAAGGTATTTGTCAAGACCTACACTAATGTCAAAATCGGAGGAAGACAAACATTTATTGATCTACTTAGCAGTCTTAGAGGTAGCGGTAAGTGTCGTTTTAGTCCATGAGGACGAAGGTACGCAATCTCCTATCTATTATGTTAGTAAAATTTTAACGGGAATAGAAACTCGCTACCCACATCTGGAAAAAATGGCCTTAGCCATCGTAGTCGCCGCTCAAAAGCTAAGGCCTTATTTTCAATGTCACTCGATAGCCGTGGTGACCACTTTTTCCTTGCGGAATATTCTTCACAAATCTGAACTTTCAGGTAGGCTAGCCAAATGGGCCATCGAAATGAGTGAATTTGATATAGAGTATAAACCTAGGACTATGATTAAGTCGCAAGTTTTGGCCGACTTTGTGGCTGATTTCAGTCCAAGTCTGTTACCTTTGGCTACCAAAGGAGCAGTGATGGTGTCGGAATCGGCATCGAGAGTTTGGACCTTGCTCACGGATGGAGCTTCCAATGTGAAGGGGTCCGGGCTCGGCACAGTCCCTTGGGAGAAACCCTAAGGTAGGCCATAAGAATGGTTCCTCGAACTAATAATGAAGCAGAGTATGAAGCTTTGATTGCAGGTCTCATGCCCCGGCCTTGGGGAGCGCGACTGGCGCTCAACCGAGATACCCCGGTCAAGCAAGCCTACTTGATGCCTTCT